TGCTGTGCATTCAGTATGAATCTTCTTTTATATATATATATATATATATATATATATATATATATATATGTAAGCCTGAAAAAACACCTACTTTCTTCTGTCAGTGTGCCAGCCAGAGGTAACAGATGTTATGACATGGTGCTGTCACTTCTCCATGAAGCCTCAGTAGAAACATCGCTTCCCAGAATACTTCACAGACTGAGGGGGATATGAGATGCAATTTATAAAGGAAAAGTTCAATGAAACTTAACCTAGACTGATGAGGAGGCATCATTCTGTCAAAAAATAAATAAAGTGAGCTCTAAAAAAGTGCTATAAACAGCATTTTCATTCAGTAACTTTTCTTATTATCCTTCAAAACAAAACTGGATTTACTCTACTTGTTTTGCATATTTAAAATGGAAGACTGCACAGTTTTTTTGCTGTTTCCATTCATCTTAGTAATTCAATCTGTTTCTGTAAAATTACCCTTTTATGTTTAATCCTGAAGCAAATCAACAATAACATTTAAAAATACGAAAAAAAAGCATTATATTCTCTTTTAGAAGAGCTACTTTTGTGCTTTGTGTTGCCAGATTTTTAACCAAAACTAAAACATTTTATGATGTGAGACATAATTTCCATACATTCCCTTCTCAAAAAAGCCAAAGGATAGTATTTTACTTTACAGTATTCATAATTTATTTGACGTTTAATTGTAGGGTCATTTTAAAGTGTGTTGAAACTTTGTAAAACTTAGTTGACTTTTAATTCTTCAACACAACTTCCTGCAAGATATTCAAGAAAGTAAAGTGTGACTTACTTGAGTTGTGCCCTTTAACTCCAGTAATCAGCACCTCAAAGACAATGTGAAATGACAAAGGTGATACTAGGCAAGGCAACCTTTTCTCTTCTCGTTCTCTCCCACATCCCTGGCTGTCTGTGAAATTGTTAGCATTTGCTGACATCAGGGACACAGTGTAGGTTTTATCTACTGTACAGAATTAAATCAATACTCAATTCAAACTCTCTTAGAACAGAAAATACACATTTTGTCCTACTTTTTAAAACACCTTGCATTAGCACTGTGCATTAGGGAATTAATCTGATCCAGGACTGAAGAGGCCCACAAATCCTGTTTGGTTAGCTGTTACCAGGTTACCAAGTCTGATTCTTTAAAAGCACTTCTTCATTTGGCTTTTGAAGGCATCACAAAGTGTGTACAAAGCTGTTAAAATGTTGCAGGGCGCAACTGACCATCTGAGCCTTCACCGTAAATGACAGGTGATCCAATTTATGGCAGAGCTAGTGATATTTTTTGAAGATAGAGTGCTTGTTGTGCTCCCACTTTGATGTTCTGTGGTGTGTGTTTGCTCAAAGTCACATTTCTCAATAAAGCAGATTTCAAGCTGCAAAATTGCCTACTTTTACACTCTTGCAAAAGGTTTCAGCAGATGTTTAAAATTTTAATGTCCCACATAGAGGCAACAAACTATCTCCTAAGCCAAAGAGATATTCAACCTTCAGGGTTTGTTTAAAACTCCCAGGCCTGATTAAAATGTTACTGTTTTGCTGATATTGTCTTTGTATGCCTGAAAATAATCCTGAGAATGCATCTCATGTGTATAATAAGACTGTAAGGTGTAGTATCATTTTGAAATATTTGCATATCTGCAGGACAACTAGCTAGCTCTCGGTCACAAAAGTAAGTGAAAAGCACAGTCACAGATACAACGTAGGTTTATTTACTAAAACTTGTAATAAATGAAGATGTGAACAAAAATTCAGCAAAACAACAACTGGATCTCTAAAGCAACATTTCTGAGACCGGCTCTAAGCCAGTGTTATTCATAGTCTGAGTCCCATGTTTATCTCTCTGTGTCTTTCAGCTGGTCACTGTGGAATCCCAGAAGGCATTGTGAATGGCCAGGTGATAGGGGAGAACTTTGGATACCGTGATACGGTCGTGTATCAGTGTCTGCCTGGCTTTCGACTAATAGGCTCATCAGTTCGAATCTGTCTCCAAGACAACCAGTGGTCTGGACAGCTGCCCGTCTGTATATGTAAGGAAAAAACACAAGCACACAAGATTCACCTTAACTATCAAATTAACCCAGGCCCTCTACCACACATATCTGTCTCCTTGACAACATGAGGTTTGGACGGCTGCCTGTCTTTTCCACTCACATACTGTACACACACATATATACTGCATTAGTCCTTACAAATACTGTGTATACACTGTAGAAGCAGAATGCCTTAAGCCCTATGTTAACACACTCAGCTATGCACACTAACTCACACTGACTATAAAAACACATCTCTCTTCATATTATATCAATGGAATGAATAGTTTTCTATAAAGAAACACTTAAATGGACAGTGTTGGTTTGTGACAAAAAAATCCAAGATCCTTTATCTTCTGTCCTCTTTATCATTAAAACATGCAGGGAAAACCTCATCTTTATTCAAAACTGGTCTTTTGGTTTAATGTGCATGTGTGTGCATGCATGCAGAGGACAAATAGAAATCGCACTCAAGGTTTTGAGGTCAAGGTGTATCTAGCGGAAGCTTGAATGCTGTGGTATGCTTTGATAACTTCCACTGTTTGCTAGATATCAAATAAAGAAATTAAAATAATATCAAACAGAGGTAGTTCGACTTCAAGGGTTTGATAAAGTTCTCAGCATTTTTATTTGAATTTTGGACTTTTTATTGGCCCATACAGTTGAAAGATCAATATCATACATCTTACAAATCCCATTGGAGGCACACTAATGAAAAAGGTCTTATATTTGACCAATTAAGATCTATGTGATACAATATTTGGAAGGTGTTGCAGTGTAATTGGCATTGGAGGCAAGAAGTCCTGATTCCAACAAAATAAGGAAAATGGTCTCGGCACCTTTGAAAATAATTGATCTGCCTGGTGAAATGCAAGTGTTCTTTTAGTTGGTTAATAATCGATTGATAATGAAGAGGACAGTGAATCAAATAGATGTTTGCTAACTGTCTTGAAAGGCACACAGTGTGCATTGATGGTCATTGATAAAATGTCCTTTACAGCAGGAGGAGGCAGACTCAATTGATGGGAAATAAGTAAATCGAGAGTGTAGCCTTGGATGTGATGTGATCCAGCACATCATTAAAAAACACCTGAAATCATATTTTATGTTATGGTTCAGTGATTAGAAAAATAGGAGTTCAGCGAAAATACTAACACAGCCCTTTGGGGTTTGTGTGACTGTGTTTGTATTTGTGTCTGTGTATGTGTTGATGTGTATGTGTATGTGTTGATGTGTGTGTGCAGATGGATTACTTAATTAATTTAATAATTGATTTCTGTCTATTTGATCTTTTTTTAAATTTTAACATCGAAATGCAATATAAGCCAGGGTTCTTTGTCATAGCACATCTACAGCATGTGACACCGTGCTGCACACTTTACCCCACTACAGGACACGCTTTTTTTTTGTAAAGTAAAGCGCTTTAGATGCCTGATAAAAATGTTTGGAAAAAAATTTCAAATCCATTTGCTCCTTTTAAATAATTCACTTATTTTAGGGGAAGATTTGGTATAATCAGAAAAATATGAGCCTTAAATATTCAGTAACAACAGTGCAGCTGCCTTTAGCAACGTTATGAACAGTGCACCAAGGTCTTCATCAAGGGAGTTTATGTGGTAGAGCTGATAAACCCCACTCAAATTTCATTCAAGGGTGGAAAAGTCCAAATTAAAAAAATATAAATCATTTAGAATAAACCTTTTGTTCAAGAGCTATTCCATACTGAGTAAAGCCAGCATAAGGGTTGCATTTTGAGAAATATCCTTTTCTTGATTTTTTAACCCAACACTCAGATTCACACCAGTAGTCTTATATAAAGGGCCAGAGGGCCCAACTGCAAGTGTGGTCTGGGTGAGATAAATAAACGAGCTTGAGGATAAAATAGAAGGCTCTGACGTGTCCATGCTACTGTGAAAATCCCAAAAATTGGTCACTTGCTGTGAGCGTCCTAAATGTTTTTAGGCAGCAACTGGGCGCAGTTAAGGTGGTGATGATGAGTGCCATCTCAAGCCAACTATACAGACGCCGTTTCCCCAAAGAGACAGCCCGTTTGTTCACTAAATAAGGACCATGTTTAAAAGACGATGGCGGTGATGTAGCGTCTCCATTTCCTGAGTCGAAGGGGAAATGAAAGGGAGTTAATTTCCTCTATGAAATTGTTTTTGACTATGATCCTTAAAACAAAAAGAAAGGTTCAGTATAGGGACTGTATATCCGATAGTATGTGTGTTCGGGTATTGCATGGAGTTGTTTTCTTTGTGATTGGGATAGTGTGTGTGTGTATATCTGTCTGTGTATCTGGCGTTTCTGTGCTATGCTGTTTTTATTGGGGTTATTCATGCAGGAGTTATTGAGGGAAATCATTTTACAGCCAAATTATACTGTAATTATGGAGATGAGAGGCTCTTGTTTAGAGACACAAACACAGAATGATGATGAGACTATGGTGTGTGTGTGTGTGTGTGTGTGTGTGTAGCTGTAGGGCATGCTGACGGTGTCAGATAAATTTGTATCTTAGGCAAGCAAACAAACTTCTGATTCTCACTGATCAAGTGAAAAAAAAAACCACGGCTTCTTTCCTCTCTCCCTCGTCTTCTCTTGTCTTGATCATCTCTCCTCTGCTCTCCTCACCTCAGTTGTTCTTCTCCTCTCATCTTGTCTTCTCCTCCATTACCCTTTTTTCCATCCTCCAAGTCTTTGTCTTTGCTCAACCTCCTTTCCTTTCCTCTTCTCTCTCTTTCTCTCTTTCTCTCTCTCTCTCCTCCTCCCTGTAAAGTAATAAACTCCTTTCCTCTCCTCCTCCTCCCTCTAAAGCAATAAATTTAAAGGGGGAGAGCTTGAGAGGCAGATGAGAGAGGGGCTGGCTGTAACTGTAAACTGTCTGTTTACACAAACATCAAAACACTGTCGTCAGCACAATGAAGACAAGAGACACACGCAAACTTCTAAGTAGCCCCAGTGAATGAAGTTAACAGGATGAATAATTATGACGTACAATGGCAAACAGAGGACACTCAGCGCTAACGCAGAAGATGTTGAGGTTTAATATTTCTAAAATAACGACCCTACATTTGGGATACCAGCTATGTTTTCCCGGTCATCTGACATTCTCATAAATATTTATGAATTTCTGCTGGAGAGGCATAGATATTTGGTCCAAATCTGTGCTCCTTGTGGTTTTCAAGGACCGAGAACTACATGGCCTCTGAGTTTATATCATATCATTTTGTGGCTCTCTATATCAAGAAGAAATCTAGAGAATTGGATTTTTTGAAATTTAATAAGAAAAGTGAGGCAATGGGTTACGAAAAGCCAAAACATTTACGAAAATAGAGTTGTATCTAAATCACATCAGTGGTCAGCTGCAACTGTGTGGCACTGACTGCTGAAATACTGTAGCACTGCTGGATATGACTATAGAAACATTCACAGAGGACACGGAGACAGCACATAAAAAAAAGAACTGCAATAGCCAGTCAAATTAAGCAAGAAAAACTGCTCAGTAAACTGCCGGTTATAACTGAAACCGTGTTTGACTGTGATTATGCAATACATTCACTCTCTAAAATGTTTAAAATATAAGGGGATGGTGATACTGATATTTTTCTTAATGTCAATAAACCCCGTTAAAAGCCAAAAACCAAAAGTGTTTCTTTTTCTTGTTGTCCAAAAACTGTTAAAAATGCATCAATAAGCCACACTGCCACACTGGTTGACATCTTACTTACAATGAACATGGGCCCTATAATTTATTTTGACAAGCTCACCGTCCTGCTGCCATAAATACTCGACCACCGAATGTTTGTTAATCTGCAACTGAAAATGCTCAATTTACTCCTGTTTCAATAACATTTATTAAAACATACAGTACCCTGCTGTTTTAGGAAATTGGTCTAAAGGAAAAATTATACATTTGTGACCTGTTTTTAAAGATTAACGTCTTCAGTACAAACAGATGGGCTTGGAGCTGAATGCCACAGATGGGGTATGGAAGTCAGGCTGCTATTTGGAGGTTACATTCACAATGAATGGCAGCCTGTCGCACCTCCAGTGTTTGAGTCTGTACGTGTGAACGTTGGGGGGGGTAACACATTGTCAGTTTCTGTCTTCTCATGGGATTTAATATTAATAAAAGTTGCTAATTTGCTATCTGCACTCTCAAGTAGATTTATCATAAAAGCAATAAGAACGCTGTATGAGGCTACGTGTATGATTCACACTGTCTTCCCTACAGCCATCAGCTGCGGCCATCCAGGAAGTCCCATATATGGCCGTACTGTGGGAAACGGCTTCAACCTCAACGACGTGGTCAGCTTTGTTTGTAACCGGGGCTATGAAATGGAGGGGCCCGCACGGGCTCAGTGTCAGGCCAACCGCCAGTGGAGCCACCCGCCACCAACATGTAAAGGTGGGGAGAAAAGTTAAGTGTATTCACCCCTAACTTTATTTATCCCTGACCTTTAATACCACCTCAACTCTTATCTTTATTTATCCTCACTGCCTTTTACTATGGCAACCATTCTTATTTACCCCTACCCTTTTCATTTCACCTCAATTCTACCTCTAACTTTATTCAACTTAAACATCTCTGCCGTCATAACCTTGAAATAAATTTCAACCTAGACTGAAAAGATGCACTATTTTCCTTAATGTAATGAAGTTCTGAGGTAGATTTCATACTCCACATCCCTCTAATCCTCTCCTGGCTCTAGCCCTTTTCAATGGAAACTTTTTGTTTTCAGCGAAACATAAATCTCAAGCCCTGATTGTTCTCTAACAATCACAGTAACAAGGGTAGCTTTCGCTCATGTTTGTACACCAGCTATCGGCATTCTGCCCAGTGTACAGAATGGGGTGCCAATTGAATTGTGTAAAATTAAAAATGCAACGTAATGATAACAAGCCATTACACTGCATGGTTGCTGGATCCAGGACACACAAATCTGCCTTCATCATAGCATCACATAACATTTGCCATATCCACCCTTTTGAACACCAGCTCTTCCTTCTTCACCACGACCTCCTTATTATGCCCTATATTATTTTACAGAGCTGTAATCCCAGTGCAAAACACTGGGAGAAGGAAGAGGGGGGAGATAAATTACCCTCTCTGGTTCATGCCAAATAACACATGCTTTTCTATATCTCTTTTTGTGTATTTGTCTGCGTGTCCATCTCTGTGTCTCTCTGTGTATAGTGGTCAATTGCTCCGATCCAGGTATCCCTGCCAACTCCATCCGACAGAGTAAAATAGAGCATGGGAACTTTACTTTCGGCACCGTGGTTTTCTACGACTGTAACCCAGGATATTACCTGTTTGGATCACCCGTACTGACCTGTCAACCTACTGGACAGTGGGACAAACCTCTACCTGAATGTATAGGTTAGTTTGACCCCTTGTCTTTTTGGCTTTTTAACCTGACATGGAATGGGACAGACAATAGTTAGTTTGCTAAGCCCCACCTCCAGAGTTAGTTTAGTAATGCCTGATTCTTTCAAAGGAGGTGATAAGCACCTGATGCTTACGTACAAGTTATTGTGCTCCTGATGATAGAGAAACAGCGCTGCTTCTCTGTTTCAGCCCATGCATTGTTTATTGCAGTGTAGAGCTAGTAAGTCCCAATATTATAAATATGACAAGGAAAACTTTAACATCAGACTGCTCTTACATAAGCCTGTTTGACGGCTTAGCTCACAACTTGTTTGAACGTTTTCACTTTAAACGTTACAAGAGAAAAGGCTTTTAGGAAGAAGTCTAACTGATCAGTTTAAATGCCATGCATCAACTCCAATAGCAAACGCCTGGCTCTCACACAGTGGGGAAATATTACACAGTGAATGTGCTAAAAAAATGTCATTCTGTAAACCCCACAAACTCATGTAGGTTAGTTAATTGAGGTGTTCCTTTGCTTTGAATTGTAAACACTCCAGTTACTACTGTGCGTAAGTAGGCTAAGTTTAGCTGTACACTTTAGGCTCACATGCAGATAAACACACTGTTTAATTCCTTCCAAGAGTGCCATACATTTCAGAAATGTATGGCACTCTTGTGTCTGTTTCCTGAATCCGTCTCATTATCCGTAATCCTACACATATTCTTTAGTTTCTGAATCTGTTCCCCACTGCAGCTCCTCTCACAAAGCTGCGTTAAGCTCAATCCATCTCTCCCCTCTCTCTCTCTCTCTCTCTCTCTCTCTCTCACTTCTCTCTCTCTACACTCTCTCTCCCTCTCTCTTTCTGGGTCTCTAGTTGTAGATTGTGGTCATCCTGGCTCTCCCCCTAACGGTGTGCTGAGTGGAGATAAGTTTACATTTGGTTCAACGGTTCGATACTCCTGTCTGGGCGGAAGACAGCTGAAAGGAGAATCATCCAGGACTTGTCAGCTCAATGGGATGTGGAGTGCCCCCATGCCCTTCTGCTCTGGTAACCATTTTAACCTCTATTGAATATACAGACTGTTAAGTCCACCCTATCAGTAGGAGAGATAGATAGATAGGAGTTGTAGATGAAAGGGCGAAATGTCCAAAACGTGTAGACTCAACAGAGTGTGGAGCACTCCATGCCTTTACATCCTGCAGGCGCCCTTTCTTAACCCTTTTGCTCTCAATCGAAGGGATAATGGGATGGACGGATGGACGGTAGGGTTGGCGCATGAAAAGAGAATATATCACTATGTGTCTGTTAAAATGGTTATGGAGCATAACCTTCCCCTACAACCACATTCAGTGTATCTCAGCCCTGAACCCTTAACCAAATCAATTTCTGTACTGGTTATATAATTGAATTGTCATTTTGTAAACTTTTAGGTGTATTTTCTTTTTGTGATGACCCTCACCATGTCTTTAACTCTTGAGCGATACTCTGAAATGAAAGATAAGAATAAAAATGGATGGGTGAAGCAATGACTGTATATTTAAATATTAACACATTTAAATAATTCAATTTATAATGTTTCCTGTGCATTTTCTTTAGCATTAGCTGTATTTTCTTAATGAGTTTATTTTAAGGCAATATTGTGTACTGTAGCTGCACAACTATCATTGTTCTTTAAAGTGCTTTACCCAGGCTAGATTTAGTGTATAGGCATATCTCACCACTTATTGAGCTAGATTGTGTCTCCAGACAGAAAGCCTCCTTACCTTCCATCATGTATAAACAAACAGTCTAAGTTATATGGTTCTCGGTAGCTGGCTGGGGGCATGATTATGGCTCTCCAGACTGAGAGGCTCCCAGCTGCCGTTTATATAACAAACTGACTGAAAACACATTCTAGACGAGTTGACTAAGAATACATTGTTATTTACAGCAATTGCCTGGGGGAGATGCAGGGTGAGGGAGGGTAATAGTTTATAAAGCAGTGATTCATGGTTTTTACCTGGCAGGTGTGTACCAGAGCCCTGCAGAGATAAGAGTTCAGCCCATGGTAGAAGTGCCAGGTCTGCAATTCTGCTCCGTGACTGTCGATAAGCAAATGGCGTTTCTGATGCAATGTTGGTTATGTTGCCACATTCACATTTCAGGGGGCATAAAATATTCATTTTAACCGAGAAGTAACAGTGGTTACTGTGTCTAGAGCTGAAGCCTTAAATCAAATTTCTTGATTCCATTGAGAATTATTATTAGTTTGAACCAAGATACTGCCAGATTTAAACTCGAGTCAGACTTCACAAAAATGAGGATTTTGGGATTCGACTGTGCCATTAATAATGTCAGCACTTGCGATTAGTTTATGAAGACTTGGGACGTGACAAGATTCAAGACTTGACATGGACCTGTTTGAGATGAATTGTAAAAACCTTAAAGGAATAGTTCAACATTTTGGGAAATGAGCACTTATTAGCTTTCTTTCCAAGAGTTAAATGATTGTTACCGCTCTCATGTGGAAGTCATAGCCCTCCTTAAAATCAAACATTGTAATTTTTACAATTCAGTTTTGTTCAGGTTTAACAATTGGATATAACATTTAAATTAGTGACATTTTAAGGTGCTGATAGTGGGATTCTTTTACCTTTGGACAGAGACAGGCTAGCTGTCCCCCCTGCTTCCAGTCTTTATCCTAAGCTAACTGGCTGCTGGCTGTAGCTTGATATTTAATGGAGAGTAGTAAGCAAGTATTTTAGTGTATTTCGCAAAATGTCAAAAACTATTTCTTCAATCTTAAGTTACTGCAGGCTAAGGGACTGCTTCTTAAAAAGAATATTTTGTAAAAAACTCATCATATTAGTGATGAAAAAACTCAGATGAAGAAGAAACACTCGCTTTCAAAGAAGAGTTCAGGAGACCTTGATGACTTACACAGCAGAATTCTTTGAGGCTCGGCCAAGGAGAATGTGATCAACAATACAAGCGAAGCCACAGTGCAATGCCAACCCAATTCTGAAGGTTATCTATCCTGTCAAGGGATATTTAACACAAACCTAGACCCACAAGATCTACTAGTTTCCCAATTATGGTCATAAGATTCAAACTGAGTCCCACACACATCCATCACAAAGTAGAACTACGATATGTCGGGTGCTCAGTGTTCAGTCTTAGCAGCTGCCCTGCATAGACTAGTTAGCCAAACAATTCACAAAGAAGAGGCACAGACTGTACATTAACCCCCTTGATCCAACAAGCAAGAATGTTATAGCCTTGTAGTTTTTTTCATGCAGCTTTATGAAACCTTCTGCAAACCTACAGGAGCTTCAGCTGAGTAGCCCGTGAATTTTTCCAAGCCAGAGAACAGCCAAAATCTTTCCATCGGATAGATAGTTCACGTGTGTGTGTGTGTGTGCAGATGAATGTGTGTGTGACCGATTAGTGGTTGTTCCAAAGTCACCTGAGGGAAACGACAGAGATTAGTTTTCCCAACGCTCTGTCCCACAAACTTGCACTCATACGTACACACACACACACACGCTTGCACCACTGACATCAGGTAGATTGGTTGTTCTCCCTGTTGAGACCTGATACACCTGAGGCTACATGGTGACTTTGGAGCTGTGTATCTTTGTGTGTGTGTATCTTTGTGTGTGTGTGCGTGTGTGTAAGTATCCCATGGGAGTTGTGTAGATGGTGTATATGTGTTTGATCTGTTCCCGATATTCTGAAAAAATAAAAAATACAAATCTTTCATCTTGCTGTAGACCATTTCCTCACATTTTGAGTTTTTTAATGACATAATGCTGTTAAAGGCTTATTTATTTACATCTGAGAAACACAGTCTGAAATCCTGAGACATTAGAAAAGATGTTATGTCATTATATGTTGTGTCTGTGGTATGTGTAAGCTCAGTTTAGCAGCAAGCCTCTAGATATTTGCAGTGTAGTACAAACAGAGCCAGTGTGAAATTAGGTTATTTGTCAGAAATATATCACAAAAACACAGCAGACACATTTGGGAAAAACTTAAAGTAGTTGTTTATCACACAAAGTTTCTTGATGCATTAATTACAGTAAAAATGGTGAAATATTCATTCTGTTTTCTGTTGTTAACAAAAAATAATCAGGTTTTTACATTAATTACATGCACACATAAGCAATGCACATTTTAGAGCATAAAAAAAATGCAATGGTGACCAGTAATGTTTGGGTAAAAGTATATTTGTCTGCACATTTGGTTGACAACGTGTGTGTTTGTGTGTGAAAGTGTGTGTGTGTGTTCCCAGGAGCGTGCTCTGTCTGTCAGGCTAAATTTGCTGACCAGGCGGTTCTACAAGGGTAGAGCGAGGATCACACACACACACACACACACACACACACACACACCTTCCCATCTGCACACACACACACTCTTAAGGCAAACATATGCCCCTTGTCACCAACATATGTGTGCAGTCCACTACTATTTGTATGCAGCCATTTCATACTTGACTACCCTGAGGTGAGAATGTGATTTATATCAAAAATAAAAGCAAATATTCACCTCACATTGCTGAGTTCACTTTACAATGCAGTCTCAATAACAAGTGATAAATTACAGTTATTGTTTAGATAATGTTATGCCCTTTCTCCCTCCTCTCTTCTAATTTTTTTTGTATTTGATCAAATAAAGAAAAGTAATTTTAAGTTTTAAAGTACATTGTGTGTTTTTAGAAGATGCAGCTGGTTTGTGGTGATTCAAGTATTCTAGTTTTGAAGTCGGAGACCTAACGCTGTCCCCTTGTTTCTCTCTCTGTAGGCGACACAGCTGGTTCCTGTGGCGATCCTGGCATTCCCTCCCATGGTTCGAGGGAACAAACGGATTTCAGGATCCGTTCCAAGGTTCACTTCAGCTGCACCGAGGGCTACGATCTGATCGGTTCATCAGAGAGGATGTGCTTCCCTAATGGGACCTGGTCCGGCACACAGCCCTTCTGTAAAGGTAGGAAGATACTTTGACTTAATCTCAACCTATTAGAACCCAGCACTTTGACACTTATGCAGTTAGAGATCCACCCATGTGCTGCACAGTCTCCTTAAATAACCATAGCCTGTGGAGCTGAAACTCATTGAGATGCAGAAGGCTTTCTCTCTCTCATTCTCTCATTTTTCCCCCAGCTGTCCAGTGTGGTAACCCTGGCACTCCCAGCAATGGCAGAGTATTTCGTTTGGATGGAACAACATTTTCTCACTCTGTCATCTACTCCTGCATGGACGGCTACCTGCTCACCGGCGCCACCACTAGGCTGTGTCAAGCCAACGGGACCTGGACAGGAGTACAGCCCAACTGTACCAGTAAGTAACCTGTTGTATACTGAGGGATTGCTGATGAGACCGGTTTATACCTAATTTAACAATATCTGATGCTCCATAAATAAATATACTCCTCTGCAGGACATTTTTCATTATTTTTTGCGAACTTTTATTTCAGGTGACTTGGAGGCCAAAGATCAGACTGTCAGTTTTATTACTTACTATATATAATCAGAGTATTAAATCCTTGCTTTGCAATGACGTCAAGTCTGCAACCCATAAACATCACCAAACTCCTGATGTGTAATTATAAGGTTTCCTTTCCAGCCTTTCGTAACCCTATTTTATGCCCTGTTTTAAATTATTCTGCGACAGTATAGGGTCTGAGTAATGAAATCAGCCTCAAATCTTCATGCTCCTGCTACAGGCTTTATAGGGTGACATGAATAACCTTGATTGTTGTTTACTTTAGCTAATTTGCTTTTTGAACTCTGCGGGGGGAAAATTCACAAGAGTAAATAACCATAAAATATCACATTCTGTTCCCCATATGAAATGTGACCGAAGCCATGGTTGAACAAGTGTTAATCAGTGCTGCATGTTACGCAGACTACAAAATCTGCATGTAAAGATAAATGCAACAGCTGAGTGGCATTTAACACTAACAATTAACATGTGGCATACTCACGAACAAAATACCTCGTTAAACACATCTCTACATTGTGTCCCAAGGTGAAATTCACTTACCTTGGGACACCACATTAGAAGGGTTCTTGCAGTATTTTAATGTTTTCAATGACATTCCTGACTTTAATGCACTATGCAAAGAAATAAAGCTTGAAATATCCAACAGTACAGAACAAAGAGATAGAAATGCTGAGAAACCAAATTTCTTCAATATGCGGACCTGGAAAGAAAAAAGTTTTTAAGAATCCCCTGACTTAAAGGAAATAGCTTTTAAGCTTTTACAGTAGATTACACTACATCTATTAACGGCCATGACAGTATCTGGGGTGGGTTTAAAAGCATTTAAACTGCCTATTAGACTATGAAGGACAGTGCTTTATAAGTGCAGTCAGGGGAATCCTAATGCTCCTTAAAAGAGTCCCAGGACAACCTCAGCCATTTTTAATATCACTGTTGTTTCATTCATGAGAAGTGAAGCCCATAACTGTTTCTGAAGAGACCATACAGTCAGGTCATAGATTTGTTACCCACTGTGGTGTCCACAACTTAAAATTATATAAATAAGCAGACAGGTATCATTAAAAATATGCAGTTCTAGTTAAGTGCTCTTTTGGATCACTAGAGCTTTGATTAGAATGGGATCCCAGAACTTCGCCGTTCTGGTGTTTATTTATCAGAAGGGCATTTCTAGGCCTGGACAGTTTTGAAAAACAGTGATAAAAAAAGATTGAGAGCTGGAAACGTAAACCAACCGACGGATACGACTCGCATCAACAAAGAAACTAGTCATTTGTCCCCTACACTAGCTGTCCTCTTTTGCCACTACAATCTGTCCATTTCTTTCCAGGTTGTCTCTCTTTTTTTCTTTTTATCTTCCTCTTTACCTCTTCTTATCATTTGAATTACCTACATGAAAGATCATATAGGCCGGAGTAATAGGCAAAAAGAAATTCTCATCATCTCATTTCACCCACAGCATGGCCTGTAAAGTAATCTTCATCCCGTCTCTTCCACTCAAACACCACTTGTCCATCTCAATAGTGATAAACTGCGGGGATCCAGGTGTGCCGGCTAGTGGCCTTCGCTATGGAGAAGACTTCACGATTGGTCAGAATGTGTCCTTCCAGTGCCAACCAGGATACAGAATGGAGGAGGATGGATCACCTGTCAGGACATGCACTCAAAATGGGACGTGGAGTGGGAACATGCCTATATGTACAGGTAAATTGTTTATTAACCTCTACTCGTATTGTTGTAACCCTTACAATGAACTTACAGTACATATGTAGACATGATAGATGGCATATAGTTTTGCCACTACCACTACTTTCTACAGAGAAGTATATTCCTCATGTGTACAAGAAATACAGTACAACTTAAACCCTTAACCCTGCTATATATATATCTGTGAGGACAATCAAGAAATATAAACAACTTGACTGACATGCAGCTGCTTATAACCCCTAACCCCTTCATCTTTCTCTCTCTCTCCCTCTCTCTATAGCTGTGACCTGCCCGGCTCCCCCTGCTATCAGTAATGGGGTACTGCAGGGCAGTGACTTTGAATGGGGCAGCAGTGTGAGCTACAGCTGCTCACCTGGATATGAGCTCTCATTCCCAGCTATCCTTACCTGTGTAGCCAATGGCACCTGGAGCGGCATGCTACCACAGTGCTTACGTAAGAACACACACACACACACACACACACACATATGGACACACATCACAAGTACTCACACTGCCTGTTATTATTCTTTACCAGCAATCAGTTACAATTGGAAGCAAAATCTACATTTGTCCTTGAGCTACTCAAAAAGTCACCAATGTTAGCCCTGCATACTGAAATAGGCTTGCCTGTGTGTCTCTGTGTGTTTGTGTGTGTGTGTGTGTGTGCACAGCCAAGTTTTGTGGTGACCCAGGTATTCCAGTTGGTGGTTTCAGAGAGGGACGAAGTTTCATCTACCAATCGGAAGTGTCCTTCAGTTGTGCTTCACCTCTCATTCTGGTCGGCACAACAACCAGACTTTGTGAAAGTGATGGTACCTGGAGTGGCACACAGCCACGCTGTATTGGTAAGTTTAATCATTTATGTTCAATCGACGACCAGCAAAAACATGGAAGCCATTATACAAATGAAAGATATTTTTGGGAGTGCTTTCTTTGACTCATGCAGTTTCTTTTCGTCTGCAGGAAAATCTGACCATGATATATTATTGTTCTAATGAATAAGGCTATAAAATCATTCAAACTGTATATATTTGTTTTGTTGGCCACCAGGAATCAGTTTTAGTTTCCCCTCATTTGTCATCTTCATGTGTTCACTCAATCTCAACTGCAAGAACTTGCAGAAAATTGTATCGTTTGAAAATACTCAATAGAGCCGATGCAACACCAGAGCTTTGGTACCGATACTAAAACTATCTGTCCTGCTATCCTTAGTTTGTTTCATTTAACAAAAGAAGCCAAAGTTCTCAAGTATTAAATGTTATCTAAACACATGCAGCCACATAAGTACTTTGTCTAAAAAATGTAGCCCATAATTGGCAAGGATTTGATTCAAATTATTTTTGATCAGATGAGGGAATAAGTAAATAAGATCATGAAACTGACCTGACATTGAATGTCAGCTTTCTTTTTGTTAGACTTTTCACTTCTGGGGAGCAACAAACACATTTTGGCCAGTGCCAAGAAAGTATTGAGATTCGAAACCTAGCCCTGGGTCAAATTCAACCAACCTTAAATATACAAGTCAAAACACTGGCATTGTATTTCTGGATAAATTCACAAGTTAGAAAGTCCTCCAGTATAATGCTGTTCAAATAAGTCTCCAACTTGTTTAAAATACAGTCACAAGGCTTTTATCCTCTACCAATCATTGATCTAAGATTTTCCTGATTACTTTTTAATAGTTCCTGACTATATCCTCAATCATTTATCCCCACATAAGCTGGAGCACAGCCTGATATCCTCAGGCAGGGGTGTCTCGCCCACTTCAAAGTGTGGGTTAAAATTAAAAGGTGGTGATGCTCAGCCCACTAGAGCCCCCAGACTTTTGAATCATATTTCTCAGGAGGTAAAATAAGTATCTTCTTTTAAATAACACATCAAAGGACCATATTACGGACTTGTTTTTTCCGTTCCTGTACACGTTCTCTTTTGATTAATATTATTTCTTTGTTGTTATTTCATGTATTTACTTTCCTGACTGAAAATCTGTGTGGGCTTGTAACTTATGAAACACATTATTTAGTTTCTGCTAGCCTGCCAGGGTATTATGACTGGTTTGTGGCTCACCGGGGAGTCTGGACTGGTGTTTGATATTCCCCTTCCTAATGATCATGGCAATTAATGACCTGTCGCTATGGAGTTGACAGCTACGTTTGAGTTTACTCATGGGTTTGCTATGCAGAGCAACTACTGTTCTGTCAAAGTTAAAGTTACGTAGACTTATTGGAATAACAATCAATAGTGACTGGAGCCTCATCTGAGGCAATCTTGTAAATGAAAAGGGAGCCTAGGAGGACAAGCCTTAAAGGATTCCTTTGATGTTTCCAAATTGGCAACACTTCCCTATGAAACTGCTGCTGTTTTTCCCCAGTTAGATAGATTCACTATCTGACTTAGATGTCCTGCATATCACATACAGTAATTATTTAAACTTTTAAGGACAGTCTAAGTGAATTTTGCCACCATGTGTGTCATTAGCTTTGGCATCAACTAAAATTGTGAATGACCTGTAGTTGATATTCCACATAAAGATAAGTTAGGTTTGACTGTTACTGAGAATACAGATTAAATCTATAAATATCAATTGACTAATTGCCAGTTAATGTTGGCATTTATATACAGTACATGAGCTGCTACAGCAAAAATAGACCATGAAAATAACTAAGCAGAAGAAAGAGCCATGCATGGGCTGTGGGTGTGAACAACTAAATTGGCAGCCTAGATGCATTCAGTGCATTGAGGGTTATCCAATTTCTTTAATATGGTCATATAACTACTCAACTCCTCTTAAATCTAGGTTATACAGCTCATCATTCATCAGTTTTGCAAAACAATGCTACTCTACACTTGCTTTCCTTTGAAGGCAGCGAGCAGTTCAGTATATAAACAGTGCTTGCACTAATAAACTGAATTCCTCGCATTCAGTAGTGTATCTGCGACACAAGTGGCAAAAAGTTGTGCATTCAATTAGTTATTTCTGAAAATTCTTGTCTTAAAAGTGGGGCTGTTACTGTATATAGGAAATCCCTTTCCAGAAACTACACAGAAACTGCCTGCTCATAAGTGAGACAACACCAGCACACGCTGTAACTTACTGTATTTAGTCAAAGGCTTCCAGAAACGGGCATCCGCATCCAACTTCAAACAAGCTGCTGCTATCCGGGGATTAAGAAGAAAATGAGAAGGGATATTCAGCACACATTACAAATGGTCCCACTGGGTCAATTTACCACCACGCATGATGTTTAGAGCACCACTTCACATGTCTGATTCAGAGCAGGTGCTTAAACATCAAGTATGGTGATGAATTATAATAAATGAGAGCTTTTGTAATGCGAACAGACACTTGACTTTTTGTTCCTTCATAGCTCTAGATAAGGCATGCATACAGTGCTTTACAGCTGCTATAAAGTCGAAGGTTCCCTGTGAAATAGATTATCTAAAAATAGAAGGCTTGCTCTGAAGTGTTACTTCATTGATGTAAAGACTTAATCTATAACTGCTGAAAAAGAAGTAGTTGCAGCAAGTATGAATGGTTCAATACCATGACTGTTTTTGAGACTATGAAACATACACAAGCATTCACACAAACATAAAGACTCAGTTGCAGTTTTATGTTTTTCTGTGGTGGAAGTGAAGAGGGAATGTAATGTTGAGTGCATGTGTGTGTGTGCTTGGTTGATTTATTAGTGTGTGATTGCAGCTGTATGTTAGTGTGTGATGTGTATTACTATGTGACTGAAACAGAATGAGTTTTGAGCTGAAGCAGCCTGCTCTTTAAATAAGACAGACAAGGGAAGGGGGATGTGTGTCTGTGCAGAGTGGGGGGGTTCGGTGGGCAGAGAGACATACAGGGACATGGAAAGATAGAAAGAGAGAGCAAGAAAGCAGTTAGAGAAAGAGAGGGAGAGGCAGAGGGAGAAAGGGGCAGTTAGAGAGGTACAGGAAGTGAGAGAGAGGTAGAAGGGGAGAAGGAGAGAGAGAAGTGGAGAGTGAATCTGTCATTTCGGAAGCTGTATTGAATCGAGCTCTGCGTCAGGATGTGCTCTACATGCTGATGTTCCTGCCACACACACACACTCTCTCACACACACAAGCCGGCCCCGCTTCGTTTTCTGATAAAGCACTACTGCCCCCTGCTGTCCTGTTGGGATACATACCCTGCAGTTACCATGACAACAGAGGAGAGGAAAGGAGAGTTGAGAGAGGACATATAATGCTACTGCTAATTTATCTTTCCTTTAGATTTTGTGTGTAATTACTTACACGCTTGTGCTGTACATTTCAGAGCCGACCAAAACCAGCTGTGATAACCCAGGAACACCACGCTATGGCTCCTTAAACCGGACCTACGGTTTCAAGGTAAAATATCTGTACTGACAAACTTAACTCTATAGCTACCTTCCCACCAAAGTAGTCAACTTACTAACTAATAAAGAAGTTGTCGTTGTGGCTCCTTTGATCTGAACTATCGAGGTAAAACATAGATCAATAATCTATGAAATTACAAAGAAAGAGAAAGGAAGGAAAAAACGAGGGGAGAGACAGATGGAAGAAGAAACTGTAATCTTTGAAAACTGTTGGTCAGGCAAAACAAGACATTTCAATATGTCAACTTGGGCTCTGGAAACATTTGATTTTTCACCATATTTTGGACAAAAAGTTAATATATGCTGTCTTGTGGTAGATATCATTAGATTTATCATCAGATTTACTGCCGGTGCTGCATCCCGGCAACAAACCTACATGCAACTGCCCTCCACTGCAGGTCAGCAAAGAGCACTGTCAGTGGGAAAACATTAATGTTAATAATGTTGGAAGATAAGCACTTTATTAACTAACTGTGAGGGCTGAAGTCTCAAATTAGCTGTGGCTGAACAGTGTGGACAGGAGGAATGATCACAGCAAATAATTACTCTTACATCATTACTGTATGTCATGAGAGTATTTCATTAGGATAGACTCAAAAATATCCAAACCTGTTCTTTAAACATGATGAGCAGGTTTAATTTAAATATTTTAAAGATATTTTCAAGAAAAACCAAAGATGTTTTATTTAAATAGGTAATAGCAATACATGCATTTGCAGTTGCATAGTCTGTTATAACGACTTCCCCCTCTAACAACCTAAATAAATATGTATTTTTGTCTCATTCTGTCTCTCTCTCCCTCCACAGGTGGGGAGCGTAGTGTCATTTCAGTGCCAGCCAGGTCATCTGATTCAGGGCTCTTCCTCTAGAACCTGCCAGCCTGATCTGACATGGAGCGGAGCGCAGCCCGAATGCATACGTAAGAAACATAGATCCCATCAACTTGTTAACTTATCGCCCGTCCATCCTCCTTCTGTCAGACTCTAACTCCAGTGTCCCTTCTCTGCCCTCCAGCCCATGCCTGTAAGCAGCCAGAGACCCCACTCCATGTGGACGTGGTGGGGATGGATCTGCCTGGGTTTGGCTACACCTTGGTGTACAGCTGTCAGCATGGCTACTTCCTGGCAGGGGGTTCTGAACACAGAGTCTGCAAGAGTGACAGCACTTGGACAGGAAAGATGCCAATATGTCGAGGTAAAAAAAATAAATCTATATTTGAATGTTATAACTTTATACATATCTAGTGCTTTTGATTGAAGATGTCATCCAGAAAAATGAAGTAGGAGTGCTGAGTGTGTCTTGCTCAAGGACACTTTGTCAGCACGCATACCTGGCCATCTGGAGTAGGGCAAAATTTCCTGGTGGGCTGGTCACTGGTCTGGCAGCACTGTTAAAAAAAAGATAATATGATATCCCACAGTGTTTCATCCTTCATTAGATTAGCCTGGCCAGGTCCTTACAGGTGAGGTGATGAATTAATCACATCTCATGAGTCCGTTTTTTTTTTTTTTTTTACTTTACTGCTTATATGGAGCTTATAGTGACAGGCTAGTTGTGTTGTAGCTTAAACTGAGACCTGGTATTCCCAAAACAAGATTCTGGTGGAAATAATACATTTACAATTTAGTCATACTGCAGTGTATGGATCAATGTGAGGCCACTGGATGTTCTCTTTGATCACCAAGTTATCATAATGTGTACAGAATGTGTTCATACATAAAATGTATGTCAATAAAATTAAAGCTTATTCCAAAACTAGGTTGTATCTCTAATAATACTTTTTGCTTTTTGTACACAGTAGGCGATTTGTTAACGGGGGGGGGGTGACTGGTTCTTTTAAGTCACCCGATATATAAGCGAATATTATAGATCCAAGACGAAACTGACAGAATGCGCAATTACTATTCCATCTGCTACAATAACACCATGGCCAGTGCCATGGATTTTTAAATACACAGCACGGTTAGGCTACTGATATTTCACAGCCATGGTTGGGACTTGGGGCCATCTAACTTGCACAAACATCAGTCAGATAAAGGATCGATTAGTCGGGCAGACTAAACTAACATATTCAACCACACAACGCTTCTGCTCCTGCACACTCTCTCTGCTATTCGGACAGCGGTATGCAATCAAAATTCACGCCATGTTAAAATACATTTCTGTGATTCATCTATTTCTCCAACTCCTATCTCTCGTCTCGTCGTTCCAGTGTGTGTTTCTAACTCACTGACTCAAGTCGTAATTCTTAGTGGGTTGCACAGATTTGATTGGTTGAGTA